GATTATCTGAGTTTAAAACAAACTCTCGAGTGTCTGCGAAGTCCTTTGCGAATCAGAGGAAGGAGGGAGGCCGAGGTGCCAGAAGGAGGTTGAAAAGCGCGATGAAGGGAAGAGGGAGTTGCGGAGGTGAGATAATATGCTAATGCCAAGATGGAAGGTACATGGGAATTTAAGAGGATCAATGCACAGTACGAGATTCGTACGGGGAATGAGTAACATTACAACGTCCTCTATATTGCTTCCAGACGATTAGATTCCTAAAAGTTCGTCGAATGCGAGTGACTAATTTCGGTGAAATTAAACTTTTTCAGTTTAATGTCACTTTTATTCGAGTTTAATATCATTTGTTCAAGAATAAAATAAATGCATTTACGGACGTATCGAACGTATAAAAACAAATCAAGAAAATTGAAGAGAGATAATCTATATTTATATAAAAAGATTTTTTTCATCTTACATTTCCTATTTTATTTATTTATATTTTTCTCAATATGTAATATGGATCATACTACATTAATATAAATAAATAAAATAATTAATTAATTAAATTGTATTAGCGAAAGATTAATAATGGCGAAATATAAGAGATATTTATACAATTTTCATTGTCGATTATTGCGTTAATTATAGGCGATTGATTTAAAATAGTTGTTTCGATATGAATGAAAGACTTAGGGATCAATATAACGTATGCATTAGAATATCCGAATAGAATGTGTCAGAATAGGATATGATACCATTAATAATAATTAATGTAGCGCACGGTTAATCCCTCGAAATGTAGCGTTTAGCGAAATGGACGTGCATCATCGTAATGCAGTACTACTATACAAGGCCACTACACAGAAGCGTATTTCCACACTGAACAAAGCCATTAGTCCATCATTAATTCTTCATTGTAGATACTCTATCGTTGTGCATACGAATACGATCTGTTTAGAATTACATCAGAGAATGTCATGGAAATTACGTTAAACGAGCGCACACATTATTCTCTATCTATATATAATTAAATATAAAAATATAAAAAAAAAATTTTTAAACTTATCCCTCGCACAAGAAAAGGAAGATTATCGCGCGAAATCTCGAAATGTCCGTGGTCAAAATGTGTTCTACGCGTAACAAACGGCCCCTGATCGATCGTTGATCGATCAGCTGATTAGATTGCCTGGTTGGTCAACGTAACACAAGTTGTGTCGTGACAGGAAGAGGAAGAGAGAGAGAGAGAGAACAAAGGAGAGGGAGAGGACATAAGCACGTACACACGAGCCCTCGCACGCGCGTGTACACGTCGTTCTTGTTAACGAGCGCATTATTAGGTGCACCGTGCTTGGCTGAATTTCACGTAAAGCCTCCGCGCGGCCCCTTATATTGTACAACGCGCGCGTCCCGAGAAAGCTCGCATGGGAAAGCCCGGCTTGCGAGCTTATGCGAGATTATGAGTTTAGTTGGGAAACAACTCGGAGAGAGCTATGTGCTACGTGGCCGAGAGAAAGCTTACTTTTGTAACGATTATTACCATGGACCGTCGCAAAGACTCGATCACGTGGTCGAGCTTACGCTTCAACGACGAATTTTAATATAAAATTATTACTCTATACTGATTGAGAGATGCGTTTAGCGTCGAAAAATAAAAACGTGTCGAGAAAATCGATTCATCCCCATAATTATAATTTGTAAAAATTGCAAAAATCTATACGTGTGATTGATTGGTTCTTTCTCGACCTTCATTATCTGTTTGCAAGGAAAACAAAGAAAGCGGAGTATTGATAAATCTCTTTTCTCCCGAGGAAAGAATCAGATCGAAGATGGCCGGGCTAACGACCCAACGGGCAGTAAATTCCGCTTCTAAACGATCCCGGGGGCGATTAACGACGTCTTGCTCTAATTCTCATCTCGTGCCGGAGGTCGGACCATGAGCGTGGGTGGCGCTAATTTTTGCGCGTAAGAAAAGCCGCGCGCGGAGAAACGGGCGCACCTGGTCGTTTCCCATCCGCGGGAGATCAACGGACAAATGACACGCGATTCTCCCTGGCGAACCCCTCGCGCGTTTGGCGATGCCCCGCATTTACCGTCAGTTACAAACTACCCGACCCCGCTTCGCCACCCTCGCGCCGAGTCACGATTAATGTCTTATTCGCGCGAGCGAGATCCTCTCGAGAGGAAGGAAAAACCGGGAGATTTTCCGCGACAGATATGAGAAGCGCAAAAAAAACCGCCTGCGACTATCATATGCGACACGGAAGCTCATCTTTTCATTAATAATCTGACGCGAGATATTAATTATGTCGTGAAAATTATCTGGTAAACTTATTACAAAATTTCGGGAAAAAAGTTATAAAAGTTATAAAAAAGGATAAATTAAAAAATGTGTTTGATTTTGGAAAAAGATTATCACAAATGCCTTTATATACGGATATTCATATAGCATCCTATCTAACATACCAATATCGCAAAGCGCGTGCCGTTTGATTACGATGTCGGCAGTAAATCCACAACTCGGTAATTCCTCCTCTGGCAATTGTAGATAAAACTTGAATAAGTCATAGACTTAATTTAACCCATAGTAGCGTTCAACGGCGGTCTGAAGCCTTCCACGGAGATTTCTTAATTACGAGCGGGACTTTCTGAGACAGGAGGATGGGAGCCTAAAGATAGAAAGAGAAGAGAAGATCCTCTATATACATATACCGAAAGACGGAAACGTAAAATGAGAAAGAGAGAGGGACAAAAGTCCTGCTGGGGAAAAGGGTTCTCACGGTGACGAGATTTAAGGATCCTTCCTAAGGGAAAAAATCGCCCCCGTCGCGGAGACAGATGATAAAGCATTTCTCTAGCAGCGCTTTGTCATTTTTATCATAATTATTTACGAGTTAATTACTCCGCAACCGCACCCTGCTGGCTACATTTTTTTGCGTTAGAATGAGAAAAATGCTTTATTAAGACACCAAAAGAGATAACACCTTTCATAACGATTCCGTGACAGATCTGCGCTTTCATTCTTCTATTCCCGTTACAAACAGCAAGACACAAAAGCGAAATAAAATAAAGAAAAGTAAAATAGACAATCTATTTGTTCCAATAATAAATTACCTTGTAATCTAGACTTCCAATTTTTTAAACAAAAAAAAACATATTGTAATTGAAATCGATTCGTTCGTCGCAACATTTATATTCCAAGGCGTCCTAAGGCGTGGGATAATTGTCGAAAATGGAGGCTTAATTCGGCGCCGTGCGAAAGTTAGTATGATCAACTTACGGGCAGGATCTCGTCACGAGGGGCTGAGCCGCACGGTCTGCCGAATTTTAAGCCTGTATAATTTAACACCTTTACTGCGGAAACTAAGAGAAACTGATGGGAAAGACGCGGAAGGAGAGGCACGCGTGTTCGCGAGAAAGCACGGGACGACGACGAAGGTTGTAAAAGACGAAGAGAAAGCGGGATCGACTGGATAAGACGAAAGAGGGGTGAACGGAGGGAGAGATATTAAAGTTCGAAGTTTTCAACGGTGCTTACCTAGCCTAGTAGTATAGCCTCCGCTTCTCCCACGAGTTCTCTGTACCATCAGCGCATAAATATAGCCACCCGAGAGACAGAGATGGATAAAGAATCGGTCGTAAGAACAAGAAAGAGAAAATCACCCAAGTTGAGTCGTTCCCTTCCTCCTCTTTACTCGGGCACTGAGATACAAGTTCATTCCTTCGGTCTTTTGTTTTTGAAGTCTTGGATGGTACATTAGAAAAGGAGATGAGGGGAGGAGGTGAAAAGAGGGAGGGAGAGATGTGCGAATTCGTTAGCGTTGTCAACCCTTTAAGAACGGAAGCCCGCGCCGGATTTTACGTGCCGCGTCGTGAATAATTGTTGAAATCGAATTACGAGACGATCAATCGACCACTTTTATTCCCGGATTCCGTAGATTTCCTTTTAACCGGATTAAATGCTTCAGAATTACAGATTCGCGTAATTTCTGATACTCTTTTAATATGTATTTAAGCATTTAATAAATAACTTTCAGGAATAGATTCAACGTAATTTTTATATGACCAATGTATTTTACTCGATTAAATGCAATTTGAAAAGAAATCGGTAGAATCGATAAAGGTTACCTAAAATAGATTGAATATATTATACACGACTGTTATGTATAAAACATTAAAATCAATTTCATTAAATATGAAATGTTGCATGTTTCCTTTATAGACACGTGTCAGAATCAGTGATGTGATTAAATTAACATTTAAATTAACAATTAAAAATATATTTATATTTCTAATAATATTTATAATAATATTAATATTTTCAATAAGTAATCTCTCCTTCCCTCTAGAAAGAGTAAGTATATAGAAACTGCTATTAAGAAATACATATTTATTTTAACGCGCGCAATGTCTCAAATCGATCTATAATGCCCTCTTTTAATAAGAACCTTTCATAGACATTTAAATAATTTATTTTTCGCCAAGCTCAGCTAAATTATAAAAGAAAATCGACCGTCTTTTTTCACTTTACAAATTATAGTGACGTACCAATTGCAGTATACTGTAACCATAGTTAATGAAATTTTCTTTCTCAATCTATGTTACAGCTAGAGTTATAATCTAGACAAGGACACACGAGTCACACTAACCAGAATTTGTTAACTAAGGCGGTCAGTGCAAATCACCTTTAGTGGTACGGTATATCACTCGCATTGATATAAATCACATAGTATTGCAATTACTTGTCGAGAAAACTTAAAAAAAAAAAAACGCAACATGCATATACATATATAAAATTGACAGAGAAATACCAAGTATATGCTGCTTCTCGATATCGCGGCGATATTGCTTGACGGCACTTTATAAAGGACGCGCGTGCATCTCCGGTCGCATAAATTTTCCGCTAAGTCGAGATCGTCCGATCAGGACCGAATTGAAAGAGAAAAACCGATCTGTACACATCCGAATACATATATACATCGACGGTGTGTAATCCTCACGCGTCTTCTTTTATCTTGCAGAACGTAGCCGGTGGCCCTCAACGACAGGCGAACGGGGAAGCAACCCACAACCACAACGGATATCCAGCGCCAGCCAGTTCGAGCGCCCATAACGTCCTGAACCCCATGAATAATTTAAACGGTATCAATGCGCAAGCATCGTACGATGCCAAATGACAAACGAAGTAAGCACCGATATATCGATTGAGTAGCGCGATGGGGGAAGGGACGACTCGTGGAATCTCGTGTCGTTCTCGTTGTCTTCGTGGTTCACCTGTACCGATATCGTCCAAAACCCGTAATTCTAACACGTGACTCACGACAAAAAATTGCGCGTATATTTATAATCGAATATACCTTAACTACCGAAAAAGATCGTTAAATTATCGATATCGTGCAAACAATGACGGAAAAGGTGTTACTGCGCACAGATATATATATATATATATTTCGCACGATTCGCTTCTCGTCGCGATTCAAGATCGATTAGACGAAGTTGAATTTTTATGTAAATAAAGAAAAGACCACTATTAAAAAAAATATAATAATGTCTCAACAACGCGAATAAATGACGTAGAGGAGAATGTATACCTAACAAAATATAAAATAAATAACGTAAGAATATATCGCGATAATTTTGTTAAAGAGGAGACAGATATATAACATTTCTTAAAAACTGATAAAATTATATATGACGACTATGTCTTATCTCCAATGTCATCTTATATATCATTTGACAAATGCGTAATGCGTATTTTCCAGACGAATTATTATTCTGTCGATTCTCCACACACACAATACAAGATAGAACGTAAGGGAAGAATATAAAATCAGAAATATGTCTTTCGTTCTCTCACTTAATTCATACATCTGAAACGTCGAATAGACTCGTCTTCCCCACGCTCGACTGGCTAGACGATAAATAAGTAGATAAATAAATAGATAAGTAGACAGTAGATAGGTAACGAACATCTATCGGCCAATTATGGCGAATTATTGGTGCTCTTTAGATTATAATTAATCGCGTTTGCGCGATTCAGTTTAAACACAAGAAAATCGCTAAAAAAAACCAAAAAAAAAAACAGAAATATAAGATCTGCATGGAAAATTTACGGACTAGAAAAATATACCAAAAAATATACGCGACTTCTTCCGGATTTATTCATTTTCAAAAAATTCTTGTATCAACGTGTCTATTCACTTCCGGCCGGTCCACAATATCCTTAATAGCAGCCGTGTCATACGAGAAGCTCGAAACTCCGAGAGGGTAATAAAGTTTAGTGTCTAACGTTTAATGCTCGCCTCGCCTAGGGCGGCATCTCGGTAAGATGGTACGCAGGATGACCCTTGGTGGATCCTGCCGGACGAAGGCGAGCATCGGGAATCGGCAGATCGAATCGGCGGGCTTCGAGAGAGCGAGGCAGTGCAAGCAGCAAAGCGGCAACTGCTCGCCACCCCATGGGACTCATACGTTAAGGGTGACTTAAGCATTGTTTCAACTTCGAATCTCCCGGCAGAGGCCCAGATTGATGTCGCGAACTTTTCCGTTGCCTTATTTGCGAGTCAGATAACGAGGCTGAGTTATGCCAAAAGTTCTCTCTCGCGCTCTCTTTCTCTCTCTCCGGCCCGGGCCATGCCTGATCGTATCGGATCACGAGGAATACCCGTAGTCGGGAAGAATGTTTTATTTCCTCCCTTAGCTCTTCGGGGATTCGTCGTCGATGCCAAAAGTACCTATGTCGAGCGATAATAGGCTAGCAGCTGCATCGGAAAACTGCTGAAGACTATATCTCTTTAGAAACGCGACCTTCACGGTTTCTCTCCACAATAAACGAGGTAATGAGAAAAATCTTTGTTCCTTGCGATTAGCGAAGGGAGGCAATAATTGATTGTTGATTATCGATGGCAAAAGAGAGTTTAAGGAGATAGATATTAGAACTGTATTTCGCGAAGCTAACTGAAATCGACTGTGAATCTGTGGATTCATTGTTAATAAATTACGTTAACAAATATTTTTTATATTTATGTGTTATAATTTTATGCAAATTAAATAATTATAAATACATTAGTTTGTTAATATTTCTTATATATTTAGCACTTTCTTATACTTTTGCAATATTTTATTATATGAATATAATGTATTCAGAGATGTGTGTATGTATATATAAATGATAGTAATTTTAAATTATGATAAATAGCATACATCATGTGCGTAATTATTAACGAGTGCCAATTATTCTAGCGCACTTTTCTCTCGTCTTGGCGAATAAAAACACACACATCGTATGAACACACACTATTACTTCAATCTATCAAATCACATTGAATTCATAATCATCTCGATTTGTCAAGACACGATATGATTCGCAACTTGTATTTTCATACAAAAACATGACAAGTCCTTATTATTGCATTCATCGAGAGCATTAAAGTCACCTGACTAAATTGAAGGATGCGATTCCTTTCGACATTGAAATCAATTCCAACGATTGTAATGATTAATTCTCTCGCAAAATATGTGACGATTCTAGCATAGTTCCTAATGCGAAGCTTCGTCTTCGACGAAGCACAGCTATGATCGCTAAAAAAACCATTTATATCGTACTTACTGCGATTATTAAATAAATGTTTAACAGGACACAGTCAGGACAGTACTAATAATACCGGAACACTTTTATACATTGTATTCTACGGTATCGCTTTCTAAATCCCCCGCATAAATCATGGGCAGCGTTATATATGTATATCCAATACTGATTATATGCGCTTGGATGTACGAAAGAATCGAGATATTAATTAATTAAGGAAGTGTGTAAGCGTTCGTTAGTATAGATTACGTTTTGTATTATAGTTCTATCATAGAAGTATTAATAAATTTGTTTCGATGTTATTCAACAGAGAGTGATCATTGAGAATCGTGATGTGTTTCATTTTTCCTAAACTGAAGCAGTGAAAATATTATTGATTAAAGCAGTGATACAAAATTTCAGCGAAGAGATTAATAAGTATTTATAAAAACATACTTTATTCCTATGTTTTAATATAACTTTAAAATTTTTTTCTTAAATTTATTTTCTAAAATTTATTTTGAATTGATTTTTTTGGGATCCTTCACATACCTACATTTAGAAAATACATAACTAATTGAAACTGATTGAAAAATAGTTACTGCTATTAATTGATTCATTCAATGAGATTTCAATAGATATTTACAATACTATATTTATAATTGACACCTATCAGTGATTATTTATTGCTTTTCAACGATATTACTTATTACGCTGATTCCATTTAAAATAGTGAGAAAAAGGAACTGTCCGCTTCTGCTTCTCCTTAAAGATTTATGTTTTTGCTTCTATATCGAGCATGTGAATACACACAATATTGATTCGCGATGTTGCGAGAATCAACACGCGGAATGACTTTTGCCGCCGACGTGGCCTCCCTTTTTGCATCTTCCGTTCGTATTTCCCTTGAATTATTTAAGGGCGCTACGTGATTGGCCGACAAATCCGGTCGGCCTCAATAATTTACCAATCATACGCGGTCCTTTGTGTTTTATACGTCGCGTTTCGAATAAATCGCATTGTGTATTCAAGAGAGCGGTATCCAACTCTATTCTCTGGTGCGAACCCTCTCCGCGTATCCGGCGATGGAAAAAGACGAGGCGAAGAAACGGAAAAGGAAGCGACCGGAGATCGCGAAGGGGGCGATCGCGCACGATTTGCACGAATTGACTCAAAATTCGGCTGAACATCGCGAATTTATGACGAGACTGCGAAGGAACGTAGTATCTTCCCCTATATCTTCTCCGTTAACATTCGCGATCCCAAACGTATTGCTAACGCGAGAGATTAAGTTTAAATACTTAACATCTTGTTAGCCATATACGCGTTAAATATTCCACACGGAAACTCGATATTCATAAGCAATTAAAAATTGAAAGAAAAGTCTTTAAATACTTGTAAGAACTAAAGTGTTTTTCTTTTTTAAAATGACGTCTTTTGGATAATTTGTACTCAGAATAAAGTACACATTCCAAACCCACACGACAAGTTGACAACAAATGCAATAATTTACAGTTTTACATTGCGATAATATATTCATATTTAATAGCACTAGACATTTTGCGATAGATGTTATTCTTCCTTTGTTTACGCAGTAATCGATTGATGATCAATGCAGGTTTTGATCTTTGCCGCACCTTAAGCTGTACGAGATTTTATTATTTTGTTTAAGTATATATTCATACTGCTAGCTTTTCGTATATCAATACAATCGGTTCATAATGATTCTGATTCACTGCATAATGATTCAGATCGATCAGTCGCGACGAACACTCGCATCTCTCCGCATCTAAAGCAATTTGTTTTACGAGAATTAATACGCTATATTTTTAATATCGACGTATTTCGACGTCGGGGAGATTCAGCGAAACGACCGTCGTTGGATAAGGGAAGGTGATTTAACGTCGCAGACGAAACTGCTTATCTATAATCCGATGAGCGAACGAACGGTAAGTAAATGAAGCGGGAAACGAGAGAGACGGTTCGAACATTCGATGCAAATTGGCAATTTTTTCTCGTACGGCTCGCGGTAATCATTGGCAATTAGAGCACGAGCCCACCCCCCTCCGAATAAATGTTATTTACGATCACGATTATCCGGGGCACACCTAGCCGCCAGAAGGTTCGCCTAACTACAACCTCCCGTCCATCTAATTGGCTGACGATTACTTCTGTTTGTACAAAACGTGGGGTACTTTACTGCTAACGCAAACGAGAAACGTTCCCTTTTGCTGGATTGCCATTTTCTTCTCTTACGCGCCAAATTTGTTTCACACGAAGTATAAATAATACATAATAATTAAATACAATAATTAATTAGTATTCATAAATTGTATGTTGCAATAAGTAGAATATAATTAATAATAATAGAAAGACATTTAAGCACTTGAGATGATTTATAATTTTAGAATCCAGGACATCATTCTACTATATTTATAATTTTACGTATCATATACAAAAACATTGGAAGGACCATACAAAATGTAAGTATAAATATGTATATCAGAATATACACGGTATATATTAATTATGCATAAAGTTCTGTCACGAATTATCGCCTAACAAATAAGTTAGAAGGTAAGTTCTACTCTTTCTATAATTATAAATTATAAAATTAGGCAGTAATTATATAGCATCAGGATTCAGTTTTAATCGATATGCAAGAAGTAATACAATATATATAATTGCTTCGGAACAAGACATAAGAATGGACAATGCCCATCTTTCATTATTCATAGTAAGATCAGATTTTAAACATGAGAAGAGATTTCCTTTGCACGATGCGTGTAATATAAAATATTTTAATTAACCTACCTTTGTGTCATTATCTTGATATTAAAATATTTATCCTTAGTTTCGAAAAGAGAGAGATCGTTCCGGCATGAAAGAAGAGAAGAGAGAGCGAATAAGTCGGATAAGATTTTGGGAAGCAGACAAACACGCATTAAATGTTTATAATAAATTCGACCAAATATATTATAAATTATATTGCTAACCATCTCGTTGTATAAAAGAAGGGGAGAAGCTGACGGCAGTGATTATATCGGTATCTACTTATTTACCCATCGAAAGTGTGCGCATCGAATCGCGTTCTCTCCTCTCGTTACTCGACATCGTTATTTCCGTTCGAACTATCCCCTGTTGTTTAATCGCCAGCAAATTACCCCGTCGAATCGCAAAACTCCCCCGCAGCTACGAGCAACTTGGGAGGCGAGCGAGCGTCATTATCTGCCAACAATTTTTCCAGGCGCGCCCTTTCTCCGACGTGAAAATAAGTAGAAAAAAAGGGGCGCCGGTGTGTAACGTCGCGGCGGGTTTGCGTAAATCACGCAAATCACGTATCGCACGGAAGAACCCAGGGGGAGGAAGGGGGAGGGAATCGCGGCTCTTTTCCGCGGTCTCTGAAACAATATTATTACTAAAAGCCGTCCTCGACTGCTTCGCGCGCGCGACAACGCGCGAAGAGAAACGACGGTCCGAGGAGGAGCGATTAATTAAAAGAGCAAAAACTGTTT